TACTGTCACGTAAGACTAAGTTAGGCGGTGCTTCTGACCTGCATTAGAGAAAGTGGCTTACGCCTGATTCTTGCTCGGTCATCTCGTTTCTGTCTTGTTACCGGTTCAGGCGGGGAGAGGGTTTAGAGTGGAGTAGATATTGGCGCGTCTACTTTCATTATACCTGGCTACATTCACGATCCCTGCTCTTGGGCATATGGTGGACCTAATCGAAATCGATGGTCGAACTATCGCTAGTTCAGTAAAAAAAATTAACCAATGACAAAGGTGAGAAGAAGCTTCGAGCACTGGAACAATCATTTTATTTAAATTAACTTTTGGATTTGTACTGGGTTTCATCCGGCAGCAGCGCCAGGAAGGGTTTGCGGAGGCACAATGGGTGCAGCATTTATTGGGCGGCCCCACTACTTAATTTCTTCAGTCTGGTTACCTGGTGCGGCTAGTGGAACGCCTAACACAGCAACAGTCAGCGGTAAAATAATTAGACTCTTTGGTCTGACGAATGAGCAGTCGCAAACCAGCAGCGACAGTGCTGCCAAGGCGCGAAGGGCTGACACCTGGCACACTGAAGGTTTTATAAAAAGCTGCAATGTCCGATGACGACACTGTAGCATGGCGACCTAGAACCGGCCTTAAATAAGTTTGTTTGCCACCGCTGCCTTGTGGTTAGGTTCTTAAACCGAATCGCTAGAGGATATAACGCATTGAAAATGTAACCGAGTACATTCTATGCCACGGTGTCCGCGGGAACCGACACACTTTGCAACTCTGTTGCAGTGGTATGGGCAAATAGTATGTGAACGGGACCATTCAGTCGGGCAAGGACGCAAATATTCGCGTCTCAGATTCGCGAAATAATTGTTATGTTTCATCTACCGTCTTTGCATTATAATCTCGCGGTGTACAGTCTCTCGTTCGAATTGATTAGCACTGATTGAGCTGGCTTCGTTTTGTCTGGCCAGATACAGTAGTCGCCGGTTATTAAGCCCACACTTGATAGGCCCAGCCGCGTATTAAGCACAAGTCAGCTTGGGACGGAATTTTACCTAGCAAAATCCGCCGGCTAATAATGCCCAGTCGCCGGCTACAATGCCCAGTTTGCCAACAGGATAGAGTGAGATTCTCATCTCTGCGTGCGCAACGATTTCTGGTGCCGGGAGAAGGACATCAAAGAGCACTTGCAAGTGAAGTTTCCTCCAAAACAACTG